AACACAATGATAAATACAAGAAATACTTTAAGTATACCTATAATTAATTTTCAAAACTTTAAACATTATAATTTATGTGGCAGGACCATCATATATAATCTACAAGGTATTAGGAATATTAGAGTCAATCTACAACAAACATAAATTTTCACACTCTATAATGGATTCATAACATCCCATCTATGCTCATTTTAGTTTTCATAAAATAAAAAGTGAAATATTGAAGTATTTGCCTAAATCTTAAATGTTTTGATCAAGTGTTGTTTATTTCCTAAGAAGACCCAAGTGTATCAGGGTCCCTACCAAAGTAAAACTCCCACCAATGTTTTATTTATATGTATCATCAACACACAACAACTTTCTATCCTTCTTGCCATTTGTCTCACTTTGTATGTGTGACAAACTTTTCAACAATAAATTTAAAACCCTGAGGTGAATACTAGAGGTATGCAGGCCCATGGCAGAAGCTGTTATACATGCCATCGAATACAAGGAGGGTACCTGACACTGGACCTCCATGGTGGTGTTGGCTGTGACAAGAACTACAGTATATTTTTTTTTTTTTTTTTTTTTTTTGTATATTCTGTGGGACTTACAATAACTCCTGTTACTAAGTCAATTTCAGAAAGTACTAAATGGCTTAGTTATGTAAAGATTGTTTAAAGCAAATCTCTCCCTGTATCAAGTTTGCCCAGAGGCAAAGTTTCATCAGACTTTAAGGCTTTCCTTTCCATTCCACTTTGATGCCATGACACAACAGCTTTCCAAGACACAACAGCTTTCCTTTTTTGAATTCCTTAAAGCACCTTTGTTGATCATCTTTGTTGTCACACTGTGCTATATTTTGCATGGCAGCATTTCTTTTCATACTGATTTCACTTATTATCCAACTTGATAGACTCTTAACTTTTCACCTATTTATGAATGCTCTTACTAGATGGTTAGCACCTGGAGATCCTTATCCTGTCCCTTCCTCTATGGAACACTCCAATTCTCAGGAGCTATTTTCTTTTGTTGTCTACAATATACACAACAACTTACACTTACGTGGCTAGTTCCATTTTAACTGTTCTCTTCCTAACTGTAGTTTAAAGTAATTGCTAGAGTGCAGGAAATCTCATAATCTTTTGTCAGAATAATAGTCTTGCCAATATATTTAGAAGATGGAAATTATTTTGTTAAAAAAACTAGGCTTGCTTCAACTATCCTCAGCACTCTAAAACCAACTCAGATACTACATGAGCAGGATGGCTCTCACTATCCCTGCTGTTCTCTGGCATCTATTCATTCGCATTCTGTTCTCAGGCTTTCCTCACAAACACTCACCAAACTTCTCCTGCCCCCTCTACCAAACAAACAAAACGTATTCCTTCCCATTCTCTGAAAAATGATCCATTAACTTAATAAAATCAAAACTAGTGTTTGGAGCTGCAGTGGGAGAGGGGTAATCAAAACCAAAAACCACATGAATTCATCAGGCCTTCTTATCTTAACTCAATCAGAAGCATGCTAATTTTAGGTCTATCCTTCCCTAAGGTGTTGCCTGATACTAAAAACTATAAACTGTTAAGTAGCCTTGAGGGTTCAAGTCCCATCTTGCAGCATGACCTTTTCTTCAGTTGTCTATCAAGACAACTTTTGGCCACTCTGGTTCATTTGGCCTTACTGCTGCCCAGTTAACAGAACTGTAAAATAACAACCAGGGTAGTTCAGAGATTGGTAGGATTTATCTTCATATGTCAAAGTCTTTTGAACAGATTGACTTAAGCAGAGCTGTTTCATTACAATTTACCACACCACCATAGCTACTGTGTGACACTTGTTGTTCTACAGTTTTCAATTAATTCCTTCAGTTATTATTTTCCTAATAACACTGATTGAGTATTCTCTTTGAAATTTGCCATCCCCATTATCCATGCTCTGCGAAAAGCTCTTGAAGTTTTTCAGTTACAATCATTCCTTAGCACTGAGTACATTTTTTTTTTTTTTTTTTTAATGGTGGACAAGGACATACAGACAAGTATAAAAGTAAGGTCTCTTTACAATCTAGAACTCATTGCTCAATATGAGTCTTGATTATATATGAAGGAATATATGATCCCCTAGTCCCCCCCCCCAAAGAAAAATTGTTCATTAGAAACACAGAAACCAGTATGGTTTTCTCACCTCTTATAAGGCATCAATGTTATGCTATCATATATGTCTAAGTATTAAATGTATATATGTATTTTGGTTTTGAAGTAAAAGAAAAACAAACAAGCAAAAACCCTTCATTTGCCTCTGTCCAATATAGGCATCTAGGTATAGTTACAAATTGAAGGACACAAATACTTCACAAGGAAAAGCATTTAAAAACAAAAGAAAAATCAGCTCCTCCTTTCAAATAGCACAGCTAGCCTTCAGAGCATGCCAGCTAATAAAAAGGTGTCATCCATGGTAACAGGAACTGAGCTTTTCCTCTTTGGGTGATAGCTGAATTTTTATTGGCAGTTCTAGTAAAATATGTAAGTTCTCATTTGTTCTTAGCAAGGTTTCCCCCTTCCGGCCCCAGTTTTTCTTCAAATAATACCTTTACTCTCCCAGTAGAATTAGAAGATTTGGCAAGTTTGAACAGGAAGGTTTTGAGTGTAATCAGTCACTTTAAATCATGTGTTGGCTATGTAGAGAAGAAAGGATATGGGAGAATCGTGGGAAGGTGAGTAACAGAAATGGTTCACACACTGGAAGACAGCAAGCATTTCAAAGCTGTTTGCGGTATCTCACCAAGGCCCAAACTGCGACCATGGTGAGGGCAAACACTGGTAGCAGCACCATAGCTATAGGAATACCACTTGGTTCTCCTTCACCTCGATGTACTATAGGTCCATTCTGCACCGGTAACTGAAACAGAAGGAAAAAGATTAACTCTGACTAATGCATATGCCACAATGAAGAGATCCAAGTTGACAATTACATGAAGGTGTGGTTCTACACCACCTAAAGCTACCCCACATAACCTAGCAGAGTTAATTGTCCTAGCTGATGTATTACTTTCATGGATACTTTGGGAAGAAAACAGTTCTGACAGGGAGGCATTTAACCTTGCTTGGTACTGACTTATGGGACCTCACAGGGTAAAGTAGATCATTTCTATTTTTATAATGCCTCTATCTTGCTATATATGCTTCCTATCATGAAAATGAAAGGATAAGATGAAACCTATGATCCTTCAGGAACTCTGGATATTGCTGAGCAGGAAAGGGACAGAAAGGAAGACTTCTTTCTGGAAATATTTACTTATAAAGACTATCAGTCATTAGAATAGATAAGAGCAGATCCAGACAGTATCAACACAGTTGCAACGTCATTACTTGGAAATGCTTTACAGATTCCAAGTTACCCTCTTGCTCCTAACATGTTGTCTTTCATGTCTAAGTTTGCAATGTTAGTCACAGATAAAGGTAAAATCTATGTGGAGTAGACATTAAAGAATCAAGAGGTAAATTATGTCCAAATTATTATCAGTTTCTATTCCCCAATAATTTCCTTTAATAGCTAGATTGTCTTTCTTCATTTCAGTCCTGTTTTACAGTGACAGCCATTAATATCAATTTTTTATAGTTAACTTGAAATAACTATAATACCACTATATCTCACTTAGGCTTAACCATATACAGCCCATGAAATCATTACCCCTTCAACTGTATAGCAAGACTGCACAAACTATATTCTACACTTACTCATTTAAAACATGGTTTTCAGGGTTAGGTGAATTTTTGACCAATAGAGTTGCATTAGAAGTTATTTATGGATGTTTCCTAAAGTAAACACTGAAAATAAATTCCCAGATGCCTTCAAATGGAACCCTTATCATATATGAAATATATGCCTATCATTTATATGCCTCTATAAATTCTCCCATGCTTTAGAAACAAAGAAAAGCCATGGCAAAAGCAGACCAATACTGTCTTTTATCAACCAGCTTTTGAGTCTATTACACTCACATTGTGTTTGCAACTCTGGTTGCTTTATGTTTTGCCTTTCTTATTTTTCTTTTCTTTAGTATTTTTTTTTTTCTTTAAGACAGAGTCTCACCATGTAGTTCAAATTAACTTCTACTTTCTCCAATTAATCCTTTTAATCTTTTTAATCTTCAGCCTCTGAAATCCTCACTTGACCTTTTAGCAAAGAATATACCAGTTAAGAAAGAATCATAGGCACACTAAACTTGGGCTAGAGATGAACTCAGAAATCCTTGATGCTGTGAGAGGAACTCAGACCTCCTCCCCATCATCCAAATTATAAAACACCAGGAAATAAGATGTAGATCAGTGGTGGCACACACCTTTAACCAAAGCATTTGGGAGGCAGAGCAGATGGATCTCTGTGAATTCAAGACCAGCCTGATCTACAGGGTGAGTTCCAGGACAGCCAAAGCTACACAGAGAAACTCTATCTCAAAAAAATAAATACATACAATAAAATAAATGAGAAAAAGGAAAGAAGAAAGGAAGAAAAGAAGGAAGACAGGAAGAGAGAGAGAGAAGCAGCAGCAGATGTAAGAATTCTCAATTTCATTTCTTTTTTCTTCAGAGTTACCTTTCAAGTTGCACTCAGGTCTTAGCCAATGTAGTCATGGAAAGAGAAGTCTTATAACAGAAGACAGAAAACATAACCATCTTAGCCATCATAAATACAGAGTTTTCAAAGATACACAAATGGTTCTTGCCCTAACAAAAAGTAAAAGTGATTCCATTTTCTTTTCCATTCTTACTTGATTAAATTTTTTTTTTTAATTACACTGAAAGTAATTTTTTACCTGGGTTATAAGTATAATGTCATACACTTCTTCTACTGATAAGCAGAAATGCCATAGGACTCCTGAATATGCTAAACACCCTACAAAGCAGTAATAGCAAAAGAAAAAAATAAAACAAGACTTTGAAGATTACATCCACAAGTATATTCACAAGTGCAGTGAGAAGCCTACTGTCCCATATCTGACTGCAAGTGATACCTACCCTATGTTGTACTCTCAGGGACACAGCATATCCTGCATTACGAAAGAGGTCTACAGCATCCTGGTGTAGCAGGTTCTTTAGGTCTTGGCCATTTACCTTTCAAAACAGCAAGAGAAGTAAGAAAAGCAAAAATTAAGTTTCTAAAGTGAACAATTAGTTTCATGCAGGCAACCAATCCTTTATTTATTAACAATAAAATCAAACTCTTTCAGGGCAAATCCCAAGGGCTAGGAGTATGTGCTAAGTTACTTAGCAGTCAGGAGGATGTGCTTTTTCATTTTCAAAGTTACGTTTTCCTACAACTTAGGATCCATGAACAATCTGAAATGAACCCAGATTTAACTAGATTTGTTTCTCTTCCTGATGGTCTTCTGTGCTTATCTTGTTTGGATGTATGAGTTCCTGTTGCTAGATTTGCATATTACCTGTGGATATTTGTCTGTTTCTACATAGGTAAATCAAGAATCTTCTAGGTTACCCCCATCCTTTATATTCCTAATCCTCAGCATTTCCAGCATCAGCCCTAGAAACCTAATTCTATATCCCCAAATTTATTTTGATTTTGTGTAAATCTGCACTAGCTCATTCTAGTGGGCTTATTTTATTGTGAACAATGCCCACTGGTTCCTGGTCCTCAAATTTACTAAAAATCTATTTCTGTGATAATACAACACTTTACAAATCACTTGAAAGAAAGTCATTCCTACTACATAGAGGACAAATATGAAGCATAAGTATTCTTTTTGGTGTTAGGAGTCACAAGTGTTATCTATATTGCATGCAGTAACTCAACACATCCCACTTTGTTCAAGATTTCATATTTTTTTATACATGTCACTATCACTATTAACAGCATTAGCAGTAAGAATATTAAGCATATTTAGTAGATTCTGTGCTTTATATACACTATCAAATTTCATTCCTATAGTTAACCTATGATTTAGACTGCATTTTAATACTGATTTTTATTGATGAAGTAATTGACACACAGAAAAAATATGAAAGTAGAAGCTAGGGGTAAAGATTTTAAATGAATGAAGTTTCACTGTTCTTTGAATATTTTTACTTTCCCACCCTGACTTGACAACTGCCCCTTAGCTAAAGCAATTTACATTTTTACTCTTCTCATCACAGACTTTGGTTAGGTTTTAGACAGAGTGAGTGGATCAAGAAGGTATCGAGACAGATCAAGTTTGTGCAGAGTTCTCATTTGTTGGAGCCCAGGAAAAGTCCAGTGGGGGAACTTAATTACATGGTCCTGATCAGATTTAAGTTACTGACAAGTGGATACAGAGCTTAAGAAACACAGCAACTGGAGAAATTTTCCATTCACAGTAGGAGACAAAGTTGTCAGAGGCAGGCTTGATAGCAATAGTGAGAATACATAGGAAGGGTCTACTTTCCCTACAGAAACCCATCTCTGTCATCTTGAACCACCAGTCCCATCAAAACCTAACCTCTTCCTTCTCTAACTCATTTATATTGTTCCTTCTACTCTTATGTCCTGCTAGGCTCTTTGGTAAGTGAAACTACCAGTACTTTTATTTTATACACTAAATATTTCCAATAATTATAATTTATTTAGTAACTGTGACAAACTCAGAAATCAACACTAGACATATATTCAGCTCTAAAAAACCTGACCTGTTTTTACTCTTCATACTTTTATTCTTCCATTATATTTCCTCTTTGTTGTTATTAGTGCTTTTGACCTCTTCATACTTTACTTGTGTTTTATCCACCTAAGATTTTGGCTGTAATTTCAACAAAGCAACTCATAAATCATTGGAGTTTCTTGCCTGGTTACCTGACATCTTTCCAGTCCTGGGAATACAATGCATCTACTTTCCTTGTCATCATCCAGTTGAATATTCACAGAGAAAACATGGGCATCTTTCACCATTTCTACCATATTCTCCAAAATAATTCTACTTATGGTTTGGGATTTGTCCAATGTCCTTTTGGATGCTGACACTTAGATATTCTGGTAGAATCTAATTCAGAATGTACAAAGTCTCTTTATAACTTCCTATAAAAGCAGAATATCCTAACTTCCCTCTTAATAGCATTCCTATCCCTCCATTAAGATGTATAATTTTTAAATACTCTGTAATCAGATAACTAAAAATGAAAAGTTCTCCAGCATGTCTGTTTAATCTCTCACTAGCTTCCTTCCATATGTGATTAACGAACTCCTTCATCCAATTAATACTATGAAATGCAGCTAATGGCCCAATCTCTGTCACCACTATGATAGGAGGTTGGCCAAAATGGAACATTCAGGTATGTAGTGTATAAGAACCAGCTACATCACTATGAATTCATAAGAATATTAAGTTCACTGAGGAATGACTATTCTTGACTAGCTGTCCTCCCTTCATTCAGGCACGCAGGAGAAATGAGAAACTTACTTCTACTTTTTCCTTACCATAAAGAATATCCTCCCAGCTTCTAGTATCAAACTATTTTTACCAAGACACACAAAATAAACAATGGGTGAGGATGTCTACTCTAGATTCATTATAAACAACTGTGTCTGCTTCATTCACGGTGTAAATTACTTTTTAAAACAAAGTCTTTACATTGCTTACTTAAATTTTTATTATCTTTTGGTATAAATCATATGCAGTGGCCGTAGAAAATTAAATTCCAGGGCTGGAGTGGAGAGATGGCTCAGAGATTCAGAACACTGGCTGCTCTTCCAGAGATACTAAGTTTAATTCCCGGCAACCACATGGTGGCTTACAATTATCTATAATGAGATCTGGTGTCCTCTTCTGGCATACAGGCAGGACACTGTATACATAATAAATAAATAAATAAATCTTAAAAAAGAAAAAATTAAATTCCACTTCTTATGAGAAAAAAAATGCACACTATATTATGCAGTTTTCCATTCCAGAACCTGGAGTCAAGACAACATATGGAGAATTGTAGTGGGATATTCACTTTGTCTCCTTCTGTGGCACTGACCACGCCCATTGGGGGACAGAAGTGACCTGGGTTAGTAGGTCTGGGGGAGGGGCATTCTTGGAAGCAGAAACCTGCTGGTGTTCACCTGTCTATGTTGTGAATTATTTCTCCCTGAATAAACATCTGTTCAGCCTAACTGTTTAGCCTGACCTTTATTAACCACGATAGAGAATATTCAGGGAGAATGAGAAGAGTTGTCATTTTGTGCTTAAAAATTGCTTGTAACTCTTTTTTAGATAACCTGCCTTTAAGCAAAGCTTTCCAATCATGATTCTCTTCTTAAGCCCTATATTTTTCAAATTTTTCTTCACACAGGGTGTTAGTGTTTGTAGAGATTGTAATGTCTGTGTAAAATACTAATTATATATTGTACCTTTAACAACCCACTCATGGTTTTTATTTTCTCTCCTGCAAAGTTAGTTTTCATTTTTACAATGTTTTTCTTATGAGGTTGACAAAATAACTGTTCCTAAATTCTTCACTATTGTTTTTATAAAGGATATTATCACTATCCCTATCTTTCAGTCTAATGTAGAGGGACTAGGAAAAGCTTAGTAGGCTCAAACATGGCAAACAGTCAGTGAGGTGGACCAAATAATGTCATCCATGGCACTTATATATTGAAAACATCCTTTTGTTTTGTTTTGTTTTGTTTTTGAAACAGGGTTTCTCTTTGGCTTTGGAGGCTGTCCTGGAGCTAGCTCTTGTAGACCAGGCTGGTCTTGAACTCACAGAGATCCACCTACCTGAATGCTGGGACTAAAGGTATGCCCCACCACTACCCGGCAATTAAACATTCTTAAGACTCTTAATTTGTAAGCTTTCATAACTACTTGTCTTGGATTTATGTGTATCTCTTTTTTGAGACAGGATCTTGCTAAGTAAGTAATTTCACAACTGACTTGAACCCAAAATGTCCCTACTTTTACCTCTTGAGTATTGGAGGACTATAGGTGTGTGACTCCATGCCTGGCTGAGTATCTTCCTAAGGAGACATTCAAAACTGAACCAGATCTCTCAAATACTTAGATGTCAAATGAAAAAAAAAAAAAAAAAAAAAAAAAAAAGGTATACATTCTTCCTGTCTTCATATACTGCTACCCAATGAACTGAATGGCAGGGAAGTATCTATCTAATATGCTGATATCTAAGATGACCAGAAGATTTCACACATGACTTTTATCACTAGTCAACTGAACTCTATGACAGATAATTCAAAAGAGAAAATTCAAGACAAAATAGGAAATAATTTTCCTTCTTTAGACCATGGGCCACAATCCACACCACATGTGGAAACAAGTGTGTCATGAGAAGTCCCATCCCACTTCAAATTGCTCCTAATTTGAGCACAGCCCCTTGTAGCCAGGTCTAACTCCCAAGAAATCCTCAATAATAATTCACTCCCTCAGTACTTTCCCATTCTTTATATGTGTGTCCTTTCTATATAAATAAGCAGAATAATAATAACAGCCCAAAACACTGATTTTTAAAAATCTACAGCATGATCTAACCTTTCCCAACTCCCACAACTGATAGTATAATAATGACACTATAGCCAGTGAGGTAGAACAGAAATGAAAAACATAGCCATGAATAAGAGTTTTATTTTACTTGGATTCTAATTTACTTTAGAACTATTCAATTTATTTTAAAACTAAGGATCTGAGCCTGGAGAGATGGCTCAGCAGTTAAAAACTGAGTTCAGTTCCCAGCAATCACATGGGACAACTCACAATTGCCTGTAACTCTAACTCCAGGAGGATCCAATACCTCTTGCTTCCATGGACACCAGCACTCATGCGCACATATGCCCCACACACACATACACAGGCACACACGTGAATGCACACACAAAATAACAAAAAAGCCCATATGACTCTATGTCAGTCAACCTTTCTAAGTTTGCATGAATTTTCTCATTTGTTGAGCACTGTACTAAGACATGGAAAGTTATTTTTTAATCTAAGTACTGTCTTTGAGTATATAAAACAATAGAATTAATGATTACTATATTGTAAGAGACATTAACAAAATGAAATGGTGGCATAACTGACAGATATACAAACTGTATTTCAGTTTTTCATCATGAGAAAGGAAGGGTCCTGAATTTAAGGAAGAAACTTAATCCTTACCTCCCTTTTTGAAGTTAAGACCATTGTAAGGGCTGACACTATCCCAAGAAAAGGTACAAACCAGTATTTTAATCAACAAAAGAGAGGTGATAAAGTTAACAAGAGAAAGGTGAAACTGTGGGTTTAACTCTTCCTCCAAACCAGTCCTTTATCTCTACTTGCTTTATGTTTTTTGAACTAGGGCAAGTAACTTCACATTCTATGTTAAATTTGCCTTGTCTGTCAAACAATGATATTATCCTCCAAGCCCAGTGGTAAAGTTGGAAGATTAATCAATGTTCCTCCCTTTTAATAACACAATTCAGGTATTTTCATTTCCAAACTGGCAGGTAGGAATCTTCCAAAGGAAGGGGTCAGAGGAGGTCAAGGGAGCAAAGTATAGGTGAAGGCATTTCTCACCGAGAGGATCTTATCACCCTCCTGGAGCCGCCCATCCCGGGCTGCAGCCCCATCCTCTTTGATGCGGCTGACGTAGATGCCACTGTCGTTGGAAACATACTGTTGATCTGTCCCACCGACGATGTTGAAGCCCAGCCCTGAGAAAATCATGGAGGAGTGAAGGAGAGGGGGATGAAGAAGAAAGAAAGATTAGAAGAGAAGAAAGGAGAGAAAAATGTTCTAGTGGGGAGGAGAGGGTGACAATTCAGACTGTGAGGTAGCTAACACAGTCATTTGCAAAGTCATTATCAACAAAGGCCAAAGTACCTTAGGTTGCTGATTTAAACCAGGTAGTACTCAAAGTATATACACAGTGATCAAAATGACTAGTCAAATACATTGAGCTCTACACAGTACGGGAAACAGTAACAGTGAGTCTTGTAAGGTACAAGGGCTTCTGATAACACTTGCTTTTGATGCTGTTGGTGACATTCAGATGACCCAAATCCTGGTATCCCTATATTAATGTAACAGGGTTAGCTGCGCTCATAACAAAGAAGCTTTGTTTGTTTTTTTTTAACTAATTATCAAATAAAATATTATCAATTTAGTGAGAAAAGCCTGCTAACTGAACCCTCTCCTTCACATGTCTTCTGTCAAGATCTGGGAACAATGGGATATGCTAGTGCTCTAGAAGAAGCAGTCTTAGTAGTTTATCTTTCTATTTTGTGCTGGGGTAGAAGAGTAGAGATACGGTCATTAGCAGGAAACTACAGAACTAGAAAAACAATTGTTCTTTACAAAAGAATCAAGTCACCAAATTCACTTTTTTCTTTTCTACATTAAGTACAACTAATCACATACCTGCACTCAGTGATAGCCAAGTTTACTCACCGGGGGGGGGGGGGGGGGGGGTGGGGGGAGGGCTGATTCCTCACTGATTCTAAGTTAGTTACTTCCCTCCTCCTAGTCCCTGGTACCCACCATTCTATTCTTTGTTTCTCTGAGTTTAATTAGTTTACAAGAGTAAAATATTTCAGTTACAGAAGAAAAGCTCTAGAGATCTGCTGTACAAGATTGTGACTACCAAAATAACAGTATATGGTATATTTTTTAAATTAGTAATACAGTACATCTAGGTATCCTTTTTATAATAAAATATAGCAGGCAAACAAGTTAGCTGGGTAACTAAAATTTTGTTTTCATGAATCAACCACTAAGCTGTGACAAGGATTTTACTCTACAGAAATCATTTATTTCTTTAAAGAAAGGTATAAAACTTATGTAAAAAAAAGGAAAAAAAAAAAAAAAAGAACTGGGAGAAGGGGGAAGAGAGAAAAGAAAAAGAAATAAAGAGAGAAAAGGGAGCCTTGCTTCTTTATGTAGTTACAGTCATAACTCAGGGACACAGTACAAAGAGAAGGAAAACACTTGGAGACATTTTTTAAAAACCAAAAATGTATTGATGCAACAGGAAGGGAAAGCCAGTGATCTCCTTCCTGATGATCTCAGTAGAAAATATATCACAAAAGAGATGTATGTAGGCTTTCTCTAAAACTCTTTCCATGGGTAGAATGAAGCTAAGACTAGAACACTAACACAGCACTATCAAATCAATCCACAATTTAATGAGAAATATAGCCAAAGAGAAAACATCAGGAAGTTTATGGTTTAAATCGCATACCTTGTACATGGAGTCTCTGCCACCAGATAAGTTTGTGGTTTTTTGTTTGCATTCATTTGGGGATTTATGATACACAACAGAAATAACTACTTCTAGAACACAGTTTTCATATCCCTGAAGCGCAGGGTAGGAAAGACAGGAACTCTAATTTATTCATTTTTTACATAATCCTCTTAATTTAAATTCATGATTGTAGGTTAAGTGGGGAGGGGATGGTAAGGTAGCAGAAACCAGATCATAGAAGGCTTCATAAAGACTTAAAAATAGTGACAGGTTTGAGCAAGGGGCTGAGGCCAATCAGTTTCTCTCAATGCTGAAACAAACCAAATCTCCCACTGAAATTCAACATTTTCACTATGGTTTGAGTCTATCACCAAACAGCTACTCTCTCTGTAGGGAATGAGGAACAAGTGTTAAGCGGCCAAATGAAACACAGTGATTTGCCAAATGGACTTTGTTACAGGTATTTAAAGCTATAGAACAGCATCTAAAAAGCGGTAAAAGAAACCTTACTGAGGCTTCTGACGCTAGGTAGGGTGGGGTAGAGAGTAGGGGGCGGTAGTCGGGGGTGGTGGGAGGAGGAGGAGGAGGCGGTGAATCACTTATAAATGGCGCCCAAGCAGGACCCGAAGCCCAAGTTCCAGGAGGGTGAGGGTGTGCTGTGCTTTCATGGGCCTCTTTTCTATGAAGCAAAGTGTGTAAAGGTTGCCATAAAGGACAAACATGTGAAATACTTTATCCATTACAGTGGTTGGAATAAAAATTGGGATGAATGGGTTCCAAAAAGCAGAGTACTCAAATATGTAGACACCAATTTGCAGAAACAGCGAGAGCTTCAAAAGGCCAATCAGGAACAGTATGCAAAGGGCAAGATGAGAGGGGCTGCTCCAGGAAACAAGACATCTGGTCTGCAACAGAAAAATGTTGAAGGGAAAACAAAAAAGAACAAGCAGAAAACACCCGGAAATGGAGATGGTGGCAGTACCAGTGAGACACCTCAGCCTCCTAGGAAGAAAAGAGCCCGGGTAGATCCTATTATTGAAAATGATGAAACATTCATGAACAGAGTTGAAGTTAAAGTAAAGATCCCTGAAGAGCTGAAACCATGGCTTGTGGATGACTGGGACTTGATCACTAGACAAAAACAGCTTTTTTATCTTCCTGCCAAGAAGAATGTGGATTCCATTTTGGAGGATTATGCAAATCATAAGAAATCTGGAGGCAATATAGATAATAAGGAGTATGCTGTCAATGAGGTTGTAGCAGGGATAAAGGAGTACTTCAATGTAATGCTGGGGACTCAGCTACTCTACAAATTTGAGAGACCGCAGTATGCTGAGATTCTTGCAGATCACCCTGATGCACCCATGTCCCAGGTGTATGGAGCGCCACATTTACTGAGACTGTGCGAATTGGAGCGATGTTGGCCTATACACCTCTAGATGAGAAAAGCCTTGCTTTATTACTGAACTGTCTACATGATTTCCTCAAGTATCTGGTGAAGAATTCTGCCAGTGCCAGTGATTACAAAGTGGTTCCTCCTGAATACCATCGGAGAGCCGTGTGAGGGGCGTTCTCTCTCACTCGTGCTTGGGTCTCTATAAACAGTTTGGTTCTTAGTCCTTCTCTTGTACAAATGATGTACTTTGAAGGCCGCTAGTGTATAACAGAATTGATGTTCGATTTTAAACAGAGAAAATAAAAGGAATCAGTGTTCCTTTATTTCTTTCTTTTCATTTCAAAGTTTCTACCAGTGTCGGACAACAGGGAGATATGCTGTAGAGTGTTTTATTGCCTAGTTGACAAAGCTGCTTTTGAATGCTGGTGGTTCTGTTCCTTTGACACTACACACTTTTATAATATGTGCTAATGCTCTATGAAAAAATGCTCTGATTCCTAGTGCCAAAGGTTCACTTCAGTGTATATAACTGAACACTCATCCATCTGTGCTCTCTCTCTTTTTTTTTAATGGTGCTTAAAGAGCCCATCCTTTGCAAGCCATCCATGTTGTTCCTTAGGCATTTTATCTTTGCTTAATTGTTAAAGAATGGTGGCTTGTTTCATGATTTTTGTATTTGTGTCTAATGCATGTTTTAACATGATAGACATAATGCATCCTGTAGCTACAGTTTTATGGAAAAGTCAATCTTGTAGGAGTTGTTTTTCCGATCTTCAATAAATTTTTTCTTTAAATTTCAAGAAAAAAAAAAAAGAGAAACCTTACTGAGACCTATTATTTTTAAGTGGAGTCTATTTATCCCCTAATACCACAACATGGTGGTACATTTATTTGACATATTATTGTTTCTGTTTAAGTGAACCAAACCACTTAAAATGAGGACTCTTAGATTAACTAAAGAATTTACATAAATGAACTCATCTACAATTTAAAACTGCAGGAATGAATGAGTTACCACAGCAGTGAGTAGTGACATTATAGTCCATACTTGGGGCTGGAGATATGGCTAAGTGATAGAGCATTTACCTAGCATACCGGGCAATACCTAGTACTACCAATAAACAGATAAAATCTTAGCCATATGTATTTACATTCTTCCTAATCTATTTGTTCAATAAAAATCACAGACCATTTACTACTAGTGATCAGCTATTATATTACATCCTGATAAACAAAGAAAGCTAAATTGTACAACTGTTCGGTTCTGACTTTAGGCATAAACAAGTGTATCTTTTTCCCTGTTCATTTTAGATATTGCATTAAGTCAGAAGAATTAGTTTCAAGTTCAACTCCATAACTTACCAAATGTGAACTGAAGCAAATAATTTTCAGTCTGATTTGCTTTCTTTTCTAGAAAATAGAATTACAAATTCTACCTGTTCTCCCTCAAAGGTAACTGTTAGACTCCAGTAACAAAATCTGAAAATTTTTTCTTTGTAAAACATAGTAATTGTTACACTGGGGAAAGGGACTAAGAGTTTCTATCAATTTCTAACAAACTAGTGACTGTTAAATTTCCAATTAATACTCTGATGGGGTAAGGGGGAAAATATGATGTAGACATGAAAATTCTTTTAAAAATGAGAAAAACATAGGGATTTAAATTCTACCTAGCCAAAAGGACAAAAATTGTTCCACACAACAGAAGCAGAAGGGTCATCGCCAAACTCTTTTTACAAGGCTACAATAACCTTGGTGCCCAAGCCACACAAAAACAAAACTAAGAAAGGGAACTACAGACCAATAATATCCCTCATGAACACTGATGCAAAAATACTCAATAAAATACTGGCACATCGAATCCAAGAACACATCAGAGAAATCATCCACCATGACCAAGTAGGCTTCATCCCAGGGATGCAGGGATGGTTCAACATACAAAAATCTATCAATGTAATACACCATATAAACAAACTATAAAAAAAAAAATGATCATCTCACCAGATGCTGAACTGCCTTTGACAAAAATCTAACACCCCTTCATGATTAAGGTATTGGAGAGATCAGGGATAGTA